AACTTATGATTACGCACTCTGTGATTTATAATTGAGGATGTATCAGGAAATGAGTTCAAGGGGCAATTATTCTTTTAGTACTCGGAATCAGTAATCTTCTTATATTCGACGTATCGCTGAAATGAGAATACATATCGTAAACACTTATATTGATATATACCATTGTATATATGAAAGGTCTGGATTTCAGTTTAATGGCCCCATAATATGAAGTACCCGATTGTACAACCACTAAGAAATGTCGGCAGCGCTATTATTTCGATAGTATTATAGTGCCAGGAGTACTAGGATGTGAATCGTACTTCTGTGTGTGAAATATTGATATTCCACGGCTGTCATTATTTGAGGAGCAATATATCGTCTAGTATACGGATATTGCAGCAGAACTATTGACTGCACAGTTGGGATGTGTATCGATTTACAATGATGATGATTACAGAAGTTGACGTAATACCGTTATATAAATGTACTAATGGTTGAGCTGTACTAATATGTGTTGTGTATTATTGTCTGAATAGCATGCTTACATAGAAAGTATGCATAATCAGAAACCATATCTTGCGAGTATACTCATATGTGCGTAGTACTATCATTTAGGAAGCAGGGTAATGCGCGAAATATAAGTGGCCCTGGAATACGAAAATCTGAAGGCTCTGAACTTCAGGGCCCTGGATTCCGGTTTGTATTATATGAGGAACACTACTGTCTCGAACTCGTAGCAGTTCCTGAAGTATTATTATATTAAGAGTGGTGGAATGAATGGAGCTGCATGACTTTAGCAGCTCTGCTGTACCAGGTGTACGAATGTCCCTAAATTACGGATGTACGACAATAACTTCTTCGCTTCCAGTGTTGATATTCCCAGAGAACTATCACGTGAATAGTCCGCTTGTGTCTGAACAATTGATATACCAAAAATGGCATTGTCGGGATGAGTACTACTGAGCCCAGAATAGTATGATTTTGATAATAGTGACATTCAAGGGGGGTCATTACTTCTACCGTGTATGTGTGTTCTATGGATACTATCATATAAAAGACACCATTGGATGAAGTTCAGAGATATACGTGCTGTTGTATTATCTAGGGAACACAACTGAGTGAGGTGGTGGAACATCCCGCAAGTGTCCATGGTTGTGAAGTAAAAGTCTGTACGGGCACTATTATTATATGGGCGTCGAGGGATTATACAAGTATTGTACGAGAAGCTAAATCCTTTGGACCCAGAAGACCGCCCAAGACCCTTTTATTTCCGGAACACCAATATACAAGCGTTCATTCAATGTGGAAACCGTCAGTAAATGGAGAGTGCCATTGTGTGAAGTCCAACAGCATACTGAATGCAGTACCATATAAGATGTAGGACTTTCCTGGGGAACTGTTATCTGAACAATGCCCTTTTGCCTGGAGTCCCCTTATTTGAGGAACCCATCGGTGTAAGGGGTAGGAATATCGTGCAGTTTCACTGTATATGGAACATACCGAGGTGTTCGTAGTACCTACATCTGGAGAATAGTTACACCGTCCTTGTATTAGTATTTGAAGAGAGCAAGTGCACTTGGGGTACCATTATTTGTACAATACTGGGGTGGATTTCCATTGCTGATGATTTGCGCAAATATATTTCTACTACTATTATATGAGGAGTAATGTTTCCATGTACTAGTGTATGTGAGGAATTCAGAGTTTAGGCTTTAATTATATGAATAAAAGTACCCTGTGAAGTCCTTGGATATTCCAGTATAACTATTGTTTAGGGAGTACCCTTGTCTCTACTTTCTCAATGGTGAGGAGTCTGGAAGTCCCCATAGTACTGTTCTATGAAAGAATTAGTAGTCGAGCTATATGGATCCCCTTGAGTGCCACTATACTGAAAGAACAATGATGTGTGGAGTTTCCTGCCTTTATGAGTAAGATAACATTTGGAGTACGATTTTTTGGGAGAGTAATGGTATGAAGGGAGTATCGTCCTGTTTACAACCCTCTCGTGTGGATAATACTTCCATTTGAACAGGATATTTGCTGAAGGAGTATTCCTGTCGTGGAGTACTGTTATTGGGACACTATAGATGTATGTATAGTACTAATATCTAAGGATGGTTGATATGGCTTGTACCATGCCATCTGATGAGTGTTTAAGTTAAGCCGGTATTATTAAGTAAAGTAAAGAGAGGTGCATAATTTATGACTTAGCTTTGTGCCGTATGACAAGGTGCCACCATTACACAACGTGTGGAAGTTGCCGTAGTACCTCCGTATGGGGGGTACAGTTGTGTGGGACACATGAATGTGTGAATTGCACGATTACTTGAAGAACACTGATGTTATGTACAGAATAGTTTGTCCTGATGAGTACAGCTGTCCTTGGAATAGCATTATTTGAAGGGTCGTCATGTTGGTTTAATGGCTGGATGATATGACTTGGGCGATTCTGCAGATCACACAGGTGGCCTCAAAACCTATTGTCTAAGCAGTAGAGCTATGCCAGTGCCACTATAATGTTAACCGTATTATAGTGTCAAGAATACTGATTTTCGAAGGGTGTCATTATTCGTAGGGTAATATTCTATGGAGTGCATGGATATTCTACAAGGGTAGATGAGAAGCAAGTATACATGTGTCCCCATTTCCCATGGTGACGAATGCGGAGATTCTCGTAGTACTCTTATATGTGGGTATTAATGGTTGAGCTATAGTGATATCTGCAAAGTACTGCCCATTTTGGGGCATAATTGTATAAAACGTACGGATGATCTGCGGCGAAGTCCTATCAGTGTACTCATATCTCCCTAGTGTGATGTCTTGGAGTGCACAATTGTGGTGGGATCCTGGATACCCCCCATGCACAATTATTAAAACAGGTGGAATATCATGGCCTACTGTTTAGGCTTTTATGATAAGGAAAGCACCCTATTCCGGAATTCATAGTATTCCCTGGAGTGTTATTATATTAACAGCCGTATAATGTGTGGAACTGCATGATTGGGGGAGCAACGCTCGAGCAAATGTACACATGTGAGTGAAGGAGTATTGTCTAAGAATTACTTATTCGCTCCCACTGGTAACATTCCCAGAGTACTATTATGTGAATAGTGGGGATGTTTGCGGAGTATTGATATATTAAGCATAACGTTGTGAGGTGAATACTACTGTACAAGGATTACTATGATTTAAAGTGTATGGACATGCATGCCATATCGTTATCCTTATCCGTCAGCCCTGGCAAGGATGGTAATGTATAAATGACTCCATTGTATGAAGTAGACGAATATACTGGGTGTATTATTATAGGAAAGGTATGATGATATAAACAGTACACATGTGTCTAAAGTGTCAATGTTGGTAAAGAATACAGCTGTATCGGGAATATTATTGTATAGGTTTACCGCTTATGCTGTTATTGTAGGGAAGGGAAAATATTTTACAACTAACACAGAGCTTGTATGGCATTCATTTGAAAGAAATTATTGTCCCTGCACTCATGTGATATGTAGAGAGAAGGGAAAATGA